CCAGGTCAGGGCGGGCGGGGGCCCTGCTGTGCGTGGGGGTGGGGTGGGGGCGGGCGCACCTTCATGAGGTCCTCACTGCTTTGGGCGGCCGCGCCTCCCGGGCTGCGGCTCGTCACCATCTCCGTCAGCAGCTTCACGCTGTTGTTCACCTCCTCGATGGCGCTCACCCGCTTGGAGATCTTCTCCATTCGCTTCTGGTCCTGCGGACGCATCGGCAAACGGCCCGGAGCACCCGAGTCAGGCCTGGACCTGAGCCAGGCACTGTCCCCCACCACCCTCTGCTGGGTGTGAGATCAGCCCCTGCTAAGAGCCCCTCGGGCCCAGGACAGGGCACTCTGGTCCAAGAAGCCCTTGACCAACCCTGTGTTCACTTTCTCTCCTCTTGCCAACGCCCCCTGGACCCAGGCCTCTGCACGAGCCCATCAGAATCTCTAGGGGTGGCTCAGGATTCTGGGTTTCCAACACACTCACCAGCTGATTCTGGAGGGCTGGGAGCTAGACTTACACCTGTGGTTCTACATAACCCTCCCCCTCTCTGTGTTTGTCCCTTGAAAGGAGGTTCAGTACTTGAGAGTAAAAGGCGACCTTAGCGGTTACCAAGTACAACTGGGAAACCAGTGCCGTGACCCCCTTGAAAGGCCACTGCAGCAGTGACCCTGCTGTCCCTCTCCCACTCCGCTCACCATGCATGCTCCTCCCTTGTGGAATGAAAGGTGGGCTTGTGCTGTGCCGTCTGATACAGTCGCCCTCCTTGAGAAGAGCTGCCCTTTCTCTGGGCTGTCAGAGCACACAGCTTGCCCTAAGACAGCCAAGAGTGTCTGCCCTTTGGGTCTCTGGACTGTACTTTTTTGATGACATACCCTTATCAATAAAAAATATTTCAGCATGCACCCACAACACAGGTTTACATACTTATAAAATACATATATATTATTCTCTCTATATGTATATGTATGTAAAATATACTGTATTTTGAACATAGTAAGATCTAATTTCTCTCTAACTTTTACGGAAGAGGTATTCAGCCTCACAGAAGCCAATGCAGGTCAGCTTGGCTGCTGGGAAATTCTTCCTTCCACACGTTGATCCTGGCTCTGCCCGCAGGGTCCCCCTGACTCGGTCAGCTCTTTCTCTGCTGTCACAGCCCTTTAGGCGGGCCACTGTGCACACGTACACACGACCTCCCTCAGTGGCTCAGCTCAACATCCCATCCCGCCACCTCCTTGCACTCTGGCCTTGGCCATCACCTCCTGCACCATCTCCTTGATGAGTTTGTTGGCTGCTCGGAGGTCCTCGGGGTGGGAGCTCTTCAGCAGGCGGGCCAGCATCTGTGGAGACAGAGGGACATGGCTGTGACAGCAGTCCCTGGGCCTGGGGTCCCGTGCTGGCTCCTTTTCCTGGTGGTAGGATGTGAATAAGTTACTAAGCTCTCCATGGGATGGCAAGGATCTGACACCTTACGGGGTGGCCGTGGGACAAGTGACACACTGCACGTAAGTGCTCTCTGCAGCGCCCGGCAGAAATAAGCTTTCCACAAATGGTGCGAAACGTTACATTACTATTGCTAGAGAACTCTTCTAGAAGGATGTACAGGAAACTCCACGCTTACCCCCGGGACTAGACCGGGCAGAAGAGGAGCTTTTGCTTTTCACCCCACGCCCCGTGCTGTTGAAGCTCTTGCCCGTGGCCACATGCCTCTTCAACAAAAAGCTAGTAAAGTCATTGCTGAGAAGGTCACAGACATAAAGACAGGCAAGCTCCTTCCTGATCGACCTATGTAATGCCCTCAAACCAAGCCCAGGGCCACCAGCCTCAGGCCTGCGTTTACTAAGTGAAGGGCACTGCGCGGGCAGCACTCAGCATGTGTAAGGGCTCAACACCCGGCACCCGGCACCCACCACGGCAGCCGTGCTCAGCACAGCCTCTGCTCCAGGGACAGGGCCGCCAGGGGCTGGAACCCACTGACACCCAGTGGGCCTGGAGTCCTCATCTGGCCCTCCCTGAAGCCTCACCTTGGATTTCTCCTCGTCTTCAAAGATCACGTTCTTGGGCCGTGGCGGAGGAAGGGGAAAGGTGGCATCATCTGGAAGCTTGGGGTCGGCCTTCACAATCCCTGCAGCGGACGGCGGTGGGGAGACCGTCTCAGGGTCTGGGGCGGAGGGGAGAGGGGGATGGGGGCAGGCAAGGGTAGGATGGAAGGTGGAGGGCAGGCTTTCTCCAGCATGCTGGCGCTGCACTTTGGGGGGGTCAGGGCCTGCTCCTGAACTACCATGTCAAATAGTGTGTGTGCGGGGTCGGGGGCAGTTAGAAACCTGTATTTTGAGGCTGTACCATGGGGACCAGTCTCTGACTCAACCCCATCTTTTCTCCATCCAAGCTGGCCTCAGGCAGAACCATAAAGAGGCCCCACTGGCTCTCTGTTCTTGAGAAGTTAAAGGGCAGACCTAGGACCTTGCTGCCAGAGGCCCTGAAGCTGCCAGAGCCCCAGGGAGGAGGTGGTCACACCCCACCTCTGGTGCCTCACCCTGCTTCTTCAGCATCTGGTAGGCCTCTGCGATCTTCACCTCCTCAGGGAGGCCGACCGTCCAGCTGTAGAGAAGCTCCAAGATCTTGTTCTTCACCTTCTCCGACGTCCGAGAGCCCAGGTACTTCGGGGACGGAAGAAGAGGCTTTGACATTGCCCGGCCCCACTCACTGTAGTCCCAAACCCAGCCTAAACCTGGCTGCGTCCCCAGGACTCCTTCAGAAACCTCAGCCTACACAACCCTCCCACCTGACCAGTCTGAGCTCACCTCCTAGCCCTGCTGCTGCTCACTAGCTGTGTGAGCCCTGGGTGTCCCAGTGCCCCGCCTGTTGAGTGGGGATGACAGCAGCAGCACCGTGCTGGGGACGCAGAGCTGACACAGGTAAGGCCCAGAGCCCGGCGCCTGCTCTCGGCCAGCTCGTGGAAACCTTAACTGTGACCTCAGGAAGGAGGAGCCACCAGGCTCCGGGCTGACCAGGGAAGGAGCAGGTGTGGAAGCGCTCGGCCCTGGGCTCCATTCAGTCTCCCAGCAGCAAACTCGGCAGAGGGAACCGGCTCTCACTCCGGTCATCTCCTGAGAAGAGCTGCTGGGTCATTCAGCTGCTCTGGTCAAGGTATAGGTCTGAGCAAGGATGGGCGAAGAGGTGGGCTCTCACCCAAGGGGCATCAAACATGTTCCTGCCCTAGGGGAGGACTCCTCAGGCCCATCAGAGGCTCTGCCACTCAGGTTTGGGGCCTCAGCATCCAAGGCCTCAAGGAGGCCACTCTTATGAGGTGGAGACAGGGAGACCCTCCACTAGACACCTAGGTGGGGTGCTGTGGCCAGGTCTGCAGGGAGAGATCTCAGAGCCCGAGCAGCCCGCGCTGGGGAGGCTGTTCTGTGTTCACTGCAATCATTCCTCCCTAAGTGCCAAGCAGCTCCAGAGCTGGCCGGCCACCAGGCAGCCTGGAAGCATTCTTCCTGGAAACCCAGCCGTCCGGACTCAGGTGTGAAGGGAACCCTGAGAAAGGGTCTGTGTTTGCGTCGGGTCAGGATGAGGCCGGTCAGTCACCCCGCCTCAACCGCCATCTGACAGCGCAGGTCTGAGCGTGCGCTGGGAGCACCCACCTTGGGAGACACGACCTTGATGAGCTCGTTGAGGAAGCGGAACTTGCCCACCTCGTCGTGGAACCTCTTGCCGCAGCTCTTCATGCATGTTTCCAGCACCTGGGGGGTGGGTGTGAGGTGCGGGGACCCCCAGGGAGGATCAGAGGAGGTACCCTCCCTCCCACGCCTCAGCCAGGGCCCAGAAGCCCAGGGACCGGCAGTGAGAAGGGGGAAAATGACTCTTGAGAAAAAGAGGATTCTGAAGTTCAGAGACCCCCTGAGATTGATCACCACCCTCTGGGGGACAGGGCTGGGCTACCCCGAGAGCCTGGCGATGCCCAACTCGCAGCACCGACTTAGTCCCTCCGTGGCTTGGCCATATCTGAGGACCACTTGTAAATTACTTTCTTACTATTTTCCTTTGATGATTTTTTGAAACGTAAATAGGCACCATCAAACTCAGCCTTATCCTAAGCTACATGTATGTGAAATCAGAGGACTAATATGTATTTCAGGGGAAAAAACGCCACCCAAACCCTAACATGTTAAAACAAATACATAACTATTAAAAGGAAAACTGTTTATTTACTACCATCTAAAATCAGCTTTGCTGTATGGTTTGTTGCTATCTGACCCATGCTTGGGGGCCACAACACTGCAACCCCTACTCTTCTGCTACTGGCTCAGCTTTGAAACCTCTGGCCTGAGCCCAGTTGTCACCCCTTGCGCCCCTGTGATGTCCTGTGCCTGGAGGCCATCGATGGGCTGGGCCGGCCCGGCCCGGCCCCGTAATGCATCTATAAACACGGAGCTCTATAAACACGAAGACTCCTGGATGCATATACTATGGGGGTTCTGGCCGGTGGGTCTGGGGTGGGGCCCTGATTCAGCCTCCTGAAGGTCTGAGGCACAGCTGGAGCTGGGAATCCCTGGCCCAAACGACCTAGGGCTTCCTCCCCACAAGAAGCCTAACTGTGCAGGGTCTGGGGTGGGAGGCCAGCCCACTGGTTCACTGGTTGCCATGGGACCCGCAGGGGTTGGGCCACACCCCCATTCAAGGCCATCTGGGCACAACTCCCTTGGGCTCTAAAGAAGAACTTGGGGGCTTCCCTGGTGGCGCAGTGGTTAAGAATCTGCCTGCCGGGCTTCCCTGGTGGCGCAGTGGTTGAGAGTCTGCCTGCCGATGGATGTAGGGGACACGGGTTCGTGCGCCGGTCCGGGAAGATCCCACATGCCGCAGAGCGGCTGGGCCCATGAGCCATGGCCGCTGAGCCTGCGCGTCTGGAGCCTGAGCTCCGCAATGGGGAAAAAAAAAAAAAAGAATCTGCCTGCCAATGCAGGGGACACGGGTTCGAGCCCTGGTCCAGAAACATCCCACATGCCGCGGAGCAACTAAGCCCGTGCACCACAACTACTGAGCCTGCGCTCTAGAGCCTGCGAGCCACAACTACTGATCCTGCGTGCCGCAACTACTGAAGCCTGTGCGCCTAGAGCCCGAGCTCTGCAACAAGAGAAGCCACTGCAATGAGAAGCCCATGCACCACAACGAAGAGTAGCCCCCGTTCACCACAACAAAGAAAGCCCGTGTGCAGCAATGAAGACCCAACAACGAAGAGCCAATGCAGCCAAAAATAAATAAATAAATAAACTTATTAAAAAAAAAAAAAGAAGAACCTGTTGGGATCCCCAAAACCTCAGTCTTGGCCCCCCCCCGGGGCCACCCACATGGTCAGGGGACAGATGGCACCATGCTTCCCCTTCTCACCGTCAGGGCCTGGATCGCCTCCCACTCCTGTGGGGACTGGATCTTGTGGGCCAACAGCCGGGTGGCAAGTGGAGGCCTGGGTGAGAGGAAGAGCAGAGAGCCAGACTAGCCACAGAGCCCCGGGTGCCCCAGGGAGGGCGGCCACACTTCCCCGCTGGAACTGCAGCCGGCAGCGGCTTCTCCAGGACACATGCAAAGGTCCAGCTCCCTCTGGACCTTGGGGCTGGAGACTGTAGCACCAGAGGGCAGGACCAGGTAGGGAGTGCAGGCCGGGGACCTTTGAAAGGCGTGAGCTCAGCCCGTTGGCCGGCTTTACTGAGAACTGTGACCTGCCATGCCCTTGGCTTGCCGTAGGGACAAGTACGGAGAGATGCCCACAGCCTTCAAGGGCCCAGCCTGGGAGCAGAACTTGACAATGTGCACAGAATATTCTGCTGGGAGAAGTCACGGTGGCAATGGTGACATCATCTACCAGATCATGAAAGACCTGTCACCAGTGACAGTAACAGCTAACACACACGGAGCACTTACGATGTGCGAGGCACCTCACGTCCATTTTCCTGCCTAACCTCCATAAGAGCCCCCCGAGGTAGGCAGCACTACCATCTCCACTTGACAGTGTCAGAAATGGGGGCTCAGAGGCATCTCGTTACTCGTCCAGGCGACTCAGCTAACAGAAGGGATGGGGCTGTCACCTGAGCAGCTGGACTGGGGAGCACACACGTCACGCTGTCTGCATGGCATCCCAAGTGGAGCGTCTATGCTCATGGGGTGCAGCGGAAGCGAAGCACACTGAGCTGTGCTCCCCAAACTTCAGTGCCACCTGGGGAGCCTGCTAACAACGTCCCCGCCAGGCTCCCTGCCGGGCAGTCTAGTCCAAGTCTGGGTGCAGCCCACAAATGGACATTTTTGACAAACTCACCAGGTGATCCTAATGCAGATGGTGCTGGTTCTTCCTTGAGCAAAGGGCCTGCTGGCCCCTCCCAGCTGGGGAGCACACAGTTCTCTGGGAGGCCCTCCCCAACAAAGCATGGGTGCGGGTCAGGCAGCCCTGGGCTTCATCAAGCCCGGGACTACCTCCTCCTCTCTACGAGATCTTGGGGCAACGGCTGAGCCCCCTGAGCCTCGGTTTCTTCACCTGTAAGATGGGTCCAGCAAGGCCCACCTCAGAGGGTGGCACACAGTGGCACTGAGTACAAAGTGCGCGCTGCCATTGTTAATTTGGGAGCAATTAAGAATGGAAACTGGGTCTCAACTCATCCTCGTCTCTGCCCAAGGCCAGGGTCTGGAGTGTGCACGGCAGGTGCTGAGTATGCGAGTGAAAGACGGGGAAGCCACCTACCCCTCAAAGTCCTCGTTGAGCTGCTCGCAGAAGCCGTTGATGCTGGCCCAGTGCAGCTCCTTGTTCAGGGGGTTTGTGGCTCTGTCTGGAGGAGAAGAGAGGGCCAGTGGCCTGGCGAAGGGATCCCTGCCTCTCCCACTCCCTGCCCTGGCGTACGGCTGAGCATGCGAAAAGGCCTCCCCTGGACTCCCTGCTCCAACGGCCCCAAGACCCCAGCGCTGACGTCCGTCAAGTCAACGCACAGATGAGCTGCCGTCTGCGGGCTTCTCCTTGCAGCTTCTCCCCGAAGGGCCCCACGTCTAGAGATTGTGCTCAGGGGTCGTTCCCCTCCCGCATTGCCCCAACCCCTGCTGCTGTACGTCTGTCTGCACCTCCTCTGATTCTGCTCCTGAAGTGTCCCCATAATTCTCACGGAATCTACTCTCAGAGGAGATCCAGAGGTAAGGGAAAAAAGCAGCAGTTCCAACCTCAAGGAGCTTTGCAGCTGGGAAGTGGGCCAAGGTCAGCTAGGTTCTCAATAGAACGTGACAGAGGGAGGCAAAGGAGCCATGGGAACCGGTAACTGGAGGAGGGGACTCAGGGGAGCCTGGAGCCAGGGCAGGCTGCCTGGAAGAGGCAACACAAGAAGCACTGGAGGGACTTAACCAGGCTGGGGATGATGATGTGCCTTGGAACAGCTCAAGGGTTGCGGGTGAGAAGAGCTGTGGATAACAGCTCAGGGCAGGGCATGGGGGGCCTTGGGAAGGAGTGCGGCTCAGGTATCGCTTCCTCCTTCCCTAACAGTGCCACCTGCCCGGGACAGCACTGCCGAGGCAGCTCTCTGGGGTGTCCCCCAGACCCGACCTTCATCGTGGGTCCAAGTCTGCTATTGCACCGCATCCCAGCCACTTATGCACACGCCCGTAAATGCACACCCAGTAAATCAGTGAATGGATGAGGGCTCAGCTGCAGGCAGGCAGGGGGAGGTTCTGGGGGAATCCGAATCCAGGAGTAGGTAGTGGCCAGGAAAAGGCCAACAGGAAGGGGTGGTAAACAAGATCAGACAGTACCCCCCGACCCCCAACGCTGGTGAGACAACAGCTAAAAATAAACAAGGTCCTACTGTATAGCACAGGCAACTGTATTCAATATCCTGGGATAAACCATAATAGAAGAGTATAAAACAAGAATGTATATATGAAAAAAAAAAAGAATGTATGTATGTGTAAAAGTGAGTCACTTTGCTGTATAGCAGCAATTAACACACTGTAAATCAACTATATTTCAATACAACTTTTAAAAAACCCCAATTAAGTAGGTCACTTAACTTCCCCGAACCTCCATTTCCCCATCTGTAAAGTTGGAGCAAAATAAGAAGTGATTTGGGATGACAGCATATACTCTATCCAGGGTAAGGCGTGGGGCAGCCAGAGTGGGATCTTCATCACCTCCCGACAGCCTATCTCCAAGCGTCACCCTGTGCTGGTCAGTTCTGCCCAAACCTGAGGACGGAGCCGAGGGTGTGGAGGGCACAGCCCAGGAGGTGGGACACGGAAGGATCTGTGGTCAGGAGGAGGCTGGGGACTCGGCCTGTGGTGCCTGCCTATTTGGGGCCCTGTGCTCTGGCGGGAGGCCTGGAGCCCTAGGATCCCAGTGCCTGGCAGCCAATCATTCAATTCATATTTATTCAATAAATATTCTGAGTGTGGGACCACAGCAGTGAACAAGACAAAATCCCTGCCCTCTTGGAGCTCACCGCCCAGCAAGAGAAACACTGACTACTCAGACAAACAAACAAACACAGGACACTGTACACTGTTGCAGAGTGCTATAAAGAAAAACAGATCATTAAAAAGAAAACAGAAAGAAAGAAAGAAAACCAGAGCAGGGAGAAGATATAAAGAATTGTGTGTGGGGTGCTGCTTTCTGGGAGGGCTCTCAGAGGTACAGCTGAGCAAAGATCTGAAAGAAACATTTCCTCTGTGCATACAAATCTCTGTTCCAGGAGCCCTGCAGAGCCCGCCAGTCCCTGGGAGAAATGAAGCCCCTGCTGACCACCCAGGAACACCAGAAACAGCTGCCCCCCATCTACTCTGCCTCCCAGCCTCCCAGCCCCCCAGCACGGCCAGAGGCTGCTTAGAAAACTAGAATGGGGCTAGATATTGCCTACTCAATGACATCCAGCCGGGGGACCCTAAAACAGGAAGTCCCTTAGAGTGTCAGAGACACATGAGACTGAGTGAGAACAGAGAAACTGGTTTAGAGCCCGCTCCTAAGTCAGTCAGAAGCCACCGCTCCTAAGTCAGAAGCCACCGCTCCTAAGTCAGAAGCCAGTGAGTCAGAAGTAGCAGCATCATGAGACATCTTCTCTGCATATGGTTCAGAGCGAGGGCCTCTGGGTCCAAGGAGATCTGACCAACCTCTCTGGCCCTGGCTCCCAACTCCCAGCCCTCTTACCTCTACCTGGCGGGGGAGCACTTTCCCCAGCAGGCAGCAGGGTAGAACACAGAGGGAAGGAGGGAATTGTTTCACAACAGGGCATGACTCCACCCTGTCACTCTACAGTGGTGACAATGTCATCAGTTACCCACCAAAAGCTACTCTTCATCTCCAGTCACTGCAAGGTAAGAGCTTACAATTTTGCTAGGGCACAAAGGGCAAGAAAACGAGAAAGCCCCATCAGCCGCAATCTATCAGAGTCTAGCCTCCTGCCAAACCTGAGTGGCCTGACTCCTGTCTGTTTTTCAGATCAGACTCCGGCCTCTCAGAAAATCCCCACTGTTGCTAAACCTGACACTGTTCTGTAGCACCCACGGCTCAAGGCTTGTGGCCTGTCAGATCTGTCAGCCAGGGCCCTGCCCATCCCCCCTAAGTTACTGCTGAGACCTGGACACTTGTGGCGTTCCAGAACAGTCTCGATGGCCGCTGAGTGCTTCCTTTCCATGCCCTCCCCCACCACTGGCCAGACTGACTCTGAAACATCCGTGGAGACGGTGTGCTTCTGGGACCATCCTCAGGATTCAACTCTGCACAAGACTGGCTTAAAAGGGGCTTGCCATAATCCCAAATCATCCTGTGCAGCTCCCTGGTGTTCCTGGAGTCAAGGGGCTGAGATGAAAGTAGAACCAGAGGACTCTCTGAGGCCCTGGTACAGATGTGACCTGAATGGGAGCAAAGACTTGGGAGGGAGCTGTCCCTAGTCCAGTGGGGGAAGCAAGCCGTGCTCTCAGGAGCAGAGTTCAGTAGTAGGTTATGAGAGCCGAGGATCTGCAGTGTGGGACATGGAGGTCAGGTAGACAATGTGAGGGCTAGTACTGAAGCCTAAGTAGTAGGAAATCGTGTCTGAGGAGACACAGGAGGAGATGCAAGGTCCTTTGGAGGAAACTTAGCAAGGGCTAGGAAAGGAGTCTTTGGTGGGGGGTGAAAAATCTCAGGGTCTGGACTGAGGGTAGTGATAGAGAACTTGAAATCACTTCTGGAGTCTGAGACAGGACCCTCCCAAGCCTGTGGGGTTTGGGGGTTTCTCACTATGTGGCCAGAGCGCGGGGGATTCGATGGGTTAGTGGGTCCTACCTTCCAGGGAGGGGGAACGAACAAATGTGAGTTGCAAGCTCAAGAAAGGGATAGGAGAGAGTCACGCCATGCAGCGCCAGAGAGTGGAGGATTCGGGGCTCAAGGGGAGCCTGGTCCCTCGCTCCCGGGTGTGAGGTGCAGCTCTCGGGGCCACTCGCTTGCTTCCTCCCGGAGTCCAGGGAATGACTTGGGTGTCTGCTCCGCGGAAAAGTCTGGGCCCGAGAGAGTTGGAGGCTGCTCTCTCTATCCCGGGGGTTCTGGGCGTAGAGCCGGGCGCAGCTCACTCCTCCCCGGGGGTCGCGGCCCAGGAATCGGAAGGGTGGGCGGCGCCTGCTCCCATCGCCGGTCCGCGCAGCTGGCGGGGTCCCCCTTAACCCCAGGGTAGGAGATATAGGCTTGGGACACCGCCCCTACCGGGCCGAGGCAGGGCGTGAGGAGGGGGCGCCGAGTACCCCGCCCCCGCCGGGAAGGGGCCCGCCTAGTGCCCCCGGTTCCGGTTCCGGTCCGGCCCGCGCCCCTCCCGGACACTCACTGATTCGCGCCTCCAGAGTCTCCGGCTCCATCGCGGGCTCCATCCGCCACGGGCCCCCAGCCTCGGCACCGCCCCCCGCCCCCCGGCGCTCTCGCGGGACCTTCTCGGCACCGCCCTCCGCCGATTAAAGGGGCAACGTCCGTCCCGACGCGCGGAGAAGAGCCTTCGGCACCATAGAGACACGAACGAACTCGCCTAGAGCGCCACCTGCTCTCCCAACCCCTCCCCCAAGCGGCGTTAACATGGTGGGAGGGACTCGCCGCCTGCCTTGTTCACAGCGCTCTGGCCGGAAAGGAAGCCGAGGGACTTGGGGCTGAGGGCTGCACCATGGAAACCCTGCGGGACGCTCTAAATCGTTCTGCGTCACGGCGAAGCCTATGATCGCTTCCGGAAGAACTTTCCGCGGCCATGTTTTTGAGGGGCTCTGAGATCACTTCCGTATCCCTGAGCGGGTATTTCCGGTTAGATGCAAAAGTGGGAGGGTCCCTTAAAACGGCAATGACGTACGTTGGCCGCTGTGAAAATATGTCAAAGTTTGAGTGCTTACAGTGTTCCAAGTTTTGTTTTTGTTTTTTGGTTTTTTTTACGCGGGCCTCTCATTGTTGTTGCCTCTCCCGTTGCGGGGCACAGGCTCCGGACGCACAGGCTCAGCGGTCATGGCTCATGGGCCCAGCCGCTCCGCGGCATGTGGGATCTTCGCGGACCGGGGCACGAATCCGTGTCCCCTCCTTCGGCAGGCGGACTCTCAACCACTGCGCCACCAGGGAAGCCCTAAGCACTTTTTCTACATTTGTCTATTTACTCCTCACAACATGAACCAGGTAGTTTGAGATCCCACAAGTGGCAGAGCGGGAACCCTGTACTGCATTCATTCTGCAATCATTTCATGGACTCTGTATTCGCCTTTCTCTGGGACAGGTGCTGGAACAGAAAGGCAAGGCCAGATATTTATTACGCAACGTGGTAGGGGAAGCCCACGGGGTAATGGCAACACAGGAGGGGCCCTCTACCCCAAACTGGGGTGGGGATGGGGGAGGGGCTCTCTTGTCGGGGGAGGGGCTCTCTTGTCAGGGGAGGTTTCACATGGGAGGTGATATTTAGCTGAAAGACAGAATTCTCCAGGTAAACCTGGTGTGAGAAGATATTCCAGGTGGAGGGAACCAAAAGTTTCAGGGCTCACAGGAGAGAAAGAGTATGATGAGGTCAGATAATTGAAAGTATTTTAATACGGCTTCAGAGGACGTAGGCCTGGAAATACACTGGGGCAAGATCATCCAAGTCCTGCGTTTAGCCTTTTTTCTTGTGAACTATGCTGGAGATGTCCTTAAAGAGTTTCACGCGTGATGGTGACAAAGTCAGGCTTTTGTTTTAGAGAGGTCCAGGCGGCCACAGTGGGCGGAAGATACTGCTGGGTGCCAGACTGAAGTCAGGCAGGGCAGAATGAATAGACTTCCTAGCCTCAGTGCCTTTTCTCCTGCCGTTTCTCCCTCTATTACAGACCCTTTTCTTCTGTTTTCCCACACGCGGCCCGGGGGAGCCCGGTTACCGGCTTACCCGGGCCCGTTGCATTCTGTCGCCCCCTGGCGGTCCACCTGGGAACTGGCCCGTGGTGTCCTCTCGAGCCTCGGTCTCCGGGAGGGTTAAAGCGAGACCGAAACAGAGAATCTGGCGATTCTGGTTCTGCTCAGCCGTCCCCCTGGCAAGCGACCTCGATTCACCTTGCAGAACAGAACTGACCTCATTAGGGAGTTGAGAGGCATGTGCTGGGTGAGTTTTTCCCTAATCTCAACCATTCAGCCAGCTGGGGCGCTTTTCTAAATTCTCCACAGGCCATTAAAATTATAGAGGAAAGTGATATGTATGTTTATTGCATTCCTCAATAAAAGCTGTAACATAATATGTACTTAGAGCTCTTTTCCTTTGTTTCTTTTATTACTGAAATGAATTATTACAGAAATAAAATGCAACCGCATTTACCACATTGATTTAGGGGCATATACGCACTGTCAAGACTCACTTTTTAAAGACGGCATAGATTTGACCAGGGTTCAAATTCTGACTTGACTGCTTTCTAAACTGTATGACCTAGGACAAGTCACTTAGACACTCTCCATCTCAAGCTTCTCATCTGAAACACGGTTGTGAGAATTCAGTGGAAGTGTGTCTGCAAAGTGAACCCCAGTAAATGCTCTCTACCCACTTTCTCTGCTGGACTTCTCTCCTTAGCACTTATCTATCCTAGCACTGTCTATTTCCTTTCTACATCGTGTTTCCTGTCTTCCTCCCCCACTGGAATGTAAGCTCCACGAGGATGAGGAATTTCAGCTATTTGGTTCACCGATGTATCCTCAAGGCTTGAAAGAGTAACTGGCACATAGGTGTTCAATCAACATGGATTGAATAAATGAATAAGTTGAAACTATTATTCATAAGCTTTATGGATGAAGGGGTGCAGGAATGTGCTAAACATTGCACAGCTAGTGTGTGTGTGTGTGTGTGTGTGTGTGTGGGGAGCCAGATAGTACTTTTAGTGAAGGCTCTAGGCTCGCCTCACTGAGTCCTGGAGAACAGGGATTGGTGAGGGAGTCAGGAAGTGGCTATGCAGCTAGGGCCTGGCCCAAACTGGGTGTCAGGGTAGAAGGTGTGGAAGGAAGGATCTGAGGATGGTGACGACGGTGAGGATGCTGAAAGGAAGGAGGACCAACACAGGAAACAGGAAATGCAGGAACTGGGCCTCTGGCAGCTGTTCCCTTCTCCACCATTTGCACATGTGTTCCTCTGAGTGACTTGCGTAACCCCTAAGAGGGGTTGGGCAAGTAGAGCTGAGCTGTCCTTGAAGCAGCTATAATCAACTAATCCAACTGCTGGTTTTCTCTGAGGTGGCTACCTGTGTCAAAATCCCCTGGGGAACTAATGAAGAAGTCAGGCTCCTGGGCGACCTCATATTCAGGTAGGACTCCCGGGACGTGGCCCAGGAATTTGCAGTCCAAAGTTAGCGTTATCCTATGCTCAGTCCATCCCCGGCTCCCTGAACCCCCTTTGCCTGCTCTGGTTCCTCAAAGACCTTAGATCCGAGATGTGCACGTCTGGGGTAATACAGACCCACCCGATGGTCTGACTGCACGGTGTGGATGATCACTGCAGCTTAGCGGGATCCTGGTGTCCGACCTTCCTCTGCCCCAGCTCTTCGTAACATCAGCCTGTCCCAGCTCGGTGCTCAGGTATACCAGGTAGGGTCACACTCACTGTGTGACTGAGTTGTGTGCCAACGGGGTTAGAGGATAAGGGGCAGGGGACTGAAAGGTCTGAGCAACCCCGTTCCGCCCCCCCACCCCCATTCATACCCCTTTCCAGCGGGTAGGAAGATCTGGTTTTTACAGAAGGGTGAGGCCACAGAGGCCGATATTATGACCCTCCTTCCACTGGCTGGAAGGAAACTAGAGACCACGGATTTCACCAATAGGAAGGCAATATGCAAATATTGCCCAGCGTTAATTGGCTGATGGACAGATGCGTACCATTCATTCTTGTGCTCTGAGACTTGGAGCTTGGAGCACAACTTTGAGGTAGAGGTTGCACTTGGAAGCAATTATTGAACACCCACCTTGTGCCAAGTCCTGTGTCAGGGCATACAGGGGTGAATAAGACCGGCAAGGCACCACCTTCGTGGAACTTGTATTCTAGTAAACTAATAAGAACATAAATAAATGAACAATTTGTTTTCTAAATTTCAGATCTGGGTGGTGCCGCGAAGACAATGCACCAGGGAGCTGTAACACCAGTGATGCTGTAACAAGTCCTGCAAGGGTATATTCTAAGAGCAGCAGAGGAGGGCAAGACCAATTACCCTGGTGGTGGAGTGAGAGGTGGAAAGAGGAGGTGCCCTTGAGCGCGCAGCTAAAGGAGGAGGAGGAATTTCCTCCCTTAGCTGAGGGGGCAGTATGTGGGAAGTGCATACTGAACTTTAGGAACCCCAGGAACTGTGAGGTAGATGGAGGGAAGAGTGTGCAGGGCAGGAGAGAGCAGAGTTATGTGACTTCGGGCAAGTCTTTTACCACCGGAGCCTCAGTTGGCAGAGGATTAAATATAATGTAGAACGCATAGTATATATGTGCGCTCAATAAATGCTAAATAAAGAAAGCTCCAGCTGGTGACCACTACTGTCATACTGGGAGAGCCCCTCAATTGTGTTCCCTAGATTTAGGGCTTTGGTCCTACCCCTGTCTCTTCCCTTTCCCCCAAAGCTTATACCTTCAGGGCTTCTGTCTTCACTTCTCTCCCTGGAACTTAGCACACTGGCATTTTGTCTTCCTGCCTGTCTAGGGGACAAGGACTCCAAATAGAGCAGGAAAGACTTGGATAAGCTCCAAGAAAGGACTTCCTTCTCTTTCTTTCAGAGTTGCAGCTGTTCGGAGGAGGGGACAGCATGCATTTCCCACAGATTTAGAAAATTCTGGAGCTGGAAGAAAGGTTTGCGATAACATATATAGTCCAGAGCTTTTTTTTTTAATTTAATTTTTTGTTTTTTAGTTTTTTTTTGATGTGGACCATTTTTAAAGTCTTTATTGAAATTGTTACAATATTGCTTCTGTTTTATGTTTTGGTTTGGGTTTTTGGACATGAGGCATGTGGGATCTTAGCTCCCCGACCAGGGATCGAACCCACACCCCCTGCATTGTAAAGTGTAACCACTGGACTGCCAGGGAAGTCCCTAGCCCAGAGCTTTTCAATTTTTTTTTTTGACAGATATCCAATGTAAGAAATGCACTTTACATCAGGACCAGCTGAACTCAAGTTTTATGAAGGCTGAAGTTTGTAAAATTTAGGGACCTCTTTAAAAAAAAAAAAGAATATAAAATTATGTATGCAAAATCAGGTGTTTATTTAGAGCAAAAAAATAAATTCCTATAAATTACAAACTTTAAAAATCTGACTGGGATTTCCCTGGTGGTCCAGTGGTTGAGATTCTGAGCTTCCACTGCAGGGGGTGGAGGTTCAATCCCAGGCCGGGGAACTAAGATCCCGCATGCTGTGTGGCGTGGCCAAAACAAACAAACAAAAAA